TACCCCTAATGCTAAAAAGAACCCCAAAAAATGTTCTCCAAAAAATTTTAAATTTTCTTTAAAAAACAGAAAAATTTCATTTTAATCAGATTTTGTTTTAATCTGTGACACTAATTGTTAAAATGTTTAAATTAACTGTATAAAGATCATTATTTAAATTAACAAATACTGCTTGAGCATGTTTTTGTTTATAATAAGTTAATACCCATATACCATTGTGCACTATATCTAAAAGTAATCTTTCAAAATTATTTGAGCTATTAGACTCATCACAAATTGTAGCAATGTCAATATTAATAAGAAATTGGTGCCACACTTTTTTAATATCATCTGCATTTATTTTTGCAAAAATGGATTAGATATCATCACTACGTAAAATAAAAACATATTAATATTAGTACTAAAAAATAAATAAATAAAACAATATTAATAATAGACTGTTGCTAACTTGCCCCCGTGGTGATGTCACTCAGGGTACTGTATCTCAAAAACCTACTAGCTAACACATGTCAGGGGTACTAAGCAAAAATATTCAGAACCCCCAAAACTTAACCCTAACTGAAATTTGGACCTTTATATCTAGCCCTTATTTTTTTCTGAAACTGCACTCTAATCCTAAATTTTGATAAAAATTAAAGGCGGTAACATCACTACTGGTTAAAAATAGTTATAAACTTAATAATAATTAATAATTATTTTATCTTTTTGCTCTAATTTGTAATTCTTCATACAATCTAATAATTTTATTCTATAGAACGTAATACTATTCAATGAAGATAGAACAAAATTTTGATGCCGTATCATTAAAATTTTGTTTTCTTATTTCCAAAACCAAAATTTTTAGGAATTTTTTAATTATTCTATTAGTTTTGCTATTATCAAGGTTCTTACAACAGATGAACAATGTATACATCTCATTTCTAAAAAGTTTACTGACAAATTTTGATATTTAGTAATAATTCATTATTAAATAACATTAACTATAAATAGTAATGAGACTAAAATGACTATAACCTTATTGGCTGCAAAGTAATCACAGACTTGTACTGATATTATAGTTCTTTCATGCTTTATAAACAATGAAGGTACATCATGAGCTAATCGTGGAGTGAATGGGAAGTACCTATTTTCGAAATAGACCAGAGGAAGGTTTAAATTATCCTTGAGCGGCTCAACAGAAGGTGGCAGCAAATATGTCTATTTATCAAGATTTTGGAAGTAAAAATCTTCTGGCAAGATTGGACTTGACAACCTTGATTGAGTTGGTGTTGCTGATCGAAATCGTCTCAACATATTCAGAAAGAGAATGTTCATCATAGCATCTACACTGTCATTAACAAGATTGTTAGTGAGAAGCCTAAATCTATTTCGCAGAGCTGTAATTGTTGTGATACTAAATATAAAATAAGTTTATTAAAATAATATTCTTTACACTTGAATGTCTTCATGCACAGTAACTGCATAGTGACTATATAGTTACTACATAGTTACAATGTAGTTACTACATAGTTATTATATAGTTACTGTGTATTAAGATATTCAGGTTTCCATATAGTTAATTAATAAAAAAAAAACTGATTAAGCTTTTTAGTAACTACATAGCAATGATATTGTTATGATATTGTAATGATATCATAACAATATTGCAATGATATTGTCGCTATGTAGTTACTAAAAGCTTGATCAGTTTTATTTTTTTTTATTAATTAAATTAATTAATAAAAAAAAAACTGATAAAGCTTTTAATAACTACATAGCGACAATATCGTCACAATATCATTACAATATTGTCGCGATATTGTCGCTATATAGTTACTAAAAGCTTGATTTTTTTTATAGATGTTAATGTTTTTTAAAAATGATACCAGGAGTAACAGGTGAACTTTGGATTTATATAATACTGATTGCAAAACTGGTTAAGATTGTAGTTGAGATTGTGGTTGAGATTGTGGTTGAGGTTGTGGTTGAGATTGTGATTGAGGTTGGATGGGTTGAGACTGAAACCAGGACCAGAGTTGTCGAACAAAGGATTGAAATGGTTGAATAGGTTGAGAAGTTGATTGAATGGGTTGAACAAGATAGGATTGCTATTGAACGGGCTAGGTTGAAGATTGAAATTGTTAAATAGGCAGTTGAATGGGCTGGGGTAAAGATTGAAATTGTTAAATAGTGGCAGTTGAATAGACTGAGATGAAGATTGAAATTGTTGAACAGGCTGTTAAACAGGTTGTTGAATAGGCTACTGAATGGGCTATTGAACGGGCTGCTAAACGGGCTGTTGAATGGGCTGCTGAATGGACAGTTGAACAGGCTAGGGTGATGATTGGAATTGATAAACCAGGAGGTTGATGATTGTGGTTGTTGGATAGGATGGGTAGTAGTTGAAGAAAATGATTCAGTTCAAGAAGAAGTTTTCATTTTTTAGAATTCATTTTTGTTTTTTTTTTAGAAAGTAATATTTTGGAAAAAAAAAATTTTATAAAATAAAAGAAAAAATTTCTTTTAAAAAATAAATTTTAAAAGTTTAGTCATGAAAAATTACCAAAAAATTTTGTCATGCAAAATTATTTGTTATACAAAATTATTCCTCATGCAAAAGTTTTCAAATGATTTTTCAGCCAATCTGATTAAGTTATGATTTCGGCATAATAGATTCAATAAAAATTAGTACATACATATATACATACAACTGTTATATATATGTAAATACAGTCCAATTTCTATTGGATATATAGTAAATTAGTAAGGTACAGAAACATAAATTAGGATGGACGTATAGAAATTATGATAGTACATACGGTTATAAAAGAAAAAAGTCGTAAAACACAAAATACTTTTCCTATAATCCTAACATGAAAAAGGACAATACTATCACTTACTCTAATCCTAATCATCAAAAAGCTATTTATAAAAAGTAAAACTTGCAAGTCTTTATTAACCATATGTATGATCAAAATTTGGTATAATTTTTGTATGTCTGTCCAAATTTGAACTGTCGTACAGTACTACTTTACTAAATACCTGTGCAATAATTATAACAGATAATATATATGTATATATATACTTACGTATCTACCAACTTTTACTAAATCTATTATGCTGAAATAATAATCGGATTAGCTAAAAAATCATCTGGCTAATTTTTTACAGATGTTCTAAAAATTATGAAAACAGCTATAATTGACTATTAGTAACCTGGTAAAATTTATCACCCAAATTTGTTTCAGATCATGCAATATGATTTTAAAAAAGCATCGGTTCATTACATTATTCTAAGTTAGAATGATGATACTTAATAAATCATATCGCGTAATCTGAAAAAAATTTGAGTAGTAAATTTTACCTGGTTGAATATTTTAGCTGTACAAAATAATAGTAAGGAACTACTATACAAACATCTGAATATTTAATGTGTAGTAAACTACATGATAATGATGTAGTAATGATGTAGTAATGATATAGTAACTATATAGTTACAATTAAAATATATAGTTACTATGTAGTTACTGTGATATTCAAGTTTCTGTAAAGTAGTAAAAACTAAGAGTTAACAATTAATCATGTAGAATAGCATAATTCAAATGCCATTCAACTGCTATTCAACAATATTCTACGACTTCACGAATATCAATGTTTATGAAATCATGTGATAGTGTTGTATAGCAATTTGAATAGCGGTTTGAATAATATTCAAATCATACTATTCAACATAATGAATCTTTTAAATTTTACTAGTAGAAAGGGCTTTGTATAAAGAAGATGTCAAAAAAGAATGTAAGTTATTACTAATGGGAAGTATAAAGGCTTGCATTTTGGTAAACTACAAATCACATAAGCAAGTACAAAGTAAATCAATCTATAAATAATAACATATAAATCGGCTAAGCCAATTTTTTGTCCTGATCGATCGATTTTTTCTAAAATCGGCTAGTTGATTCAAAAATTCCATTTAGAATATTGTTAATCATGATGTCGCAAGTTGATAGGTTTTTTATTTGCATCAGTTTTTTATTTTTTGTTTTTATTATTTACTAACCAATTTTTTTTGTCATTATTTAAAGTTTCATCGATTTCAGATGTCGTATTGTTATATTCAGGTTCACCGTTATCTATTTAAGAGTCGTTATGTTTATGTATTATTTTTACAGAAACTTGAATATCTTAATACACAGTAACTATATAGTAATGATGTAGTAACTATATAGTTACTATTAAATTTAATAGTAACTATATAGTTACTATATCATTATCATCACAGGTCAAAATAAAGTATATCAGAGCCATATTGGCATTTTTCAATTCTGATATAAGCCCGATATTAAACCGAAGTTTAGCAGAAATCAGATATCAATAGAAGACCAATCGGGGTAATATCAGCATAAATATATATCGATTAAGCCGATAGCTCTATAGAAATATCGATATAGCTATCAGATATAATGTCGATAGCTATATCGACATTTCTATAGAGCTATCGGTTTAACCAATATGTATTTATGCCAATATTACCTCGATTGGTCTCCTATTGATATCTGATTTCTGCCAAACTTCGGTTTAATATTGGGCTTATATCAGAATTGAAAAATGCCGATATGACTCTGATATTCTTTATTTCGACCTGTGATAGTAGCAATTTGGTTTTTTAAATTGTTACAAAATCTTAACAAAATCATTACTAGATTATTATGTAGTTGTAATAAGGTTGTCATAATATTGTAACAATTTTATTATTAAAATTGTTATAGAATCTTAACAAAATTATTACTAGATTTTTGTATTATAATTACAATATAGCAGCTATAAGATAAAAATATCATAGTATTATAATTTGCAACAAGATTTTTTCTATATCGTGGTTATATTGTAATAATATCATCACTATCACAGGTTGAATAAAGACATATCAGCAGATAAAATTCCGGATAACAATCGGAGATATATTGGGTTTATATAGAAATTTGAAATATTGAGCTTAATCGGAGACCTATC